TTAATCTGAGGGTCCAGGGTTCGAACCCCTGTTCGAGCGGAAAAAAAGATATATTGTCCTTTAGGACAACAGCACGAGGAGGGGTGTTAGTCGATAAAAATCCAACACTACCTGGGGTCCTTCCTTTAAAAGACTCAGGTGTCTTATCGAAGATTTCCTCCACGTAAAAAAAAAAAAGTCGTTACTTCGAAGAGAAAAATGGTTCCACTGATGGCGAATCACACGGCTCACCATTTGAAACAACGACGAGTAGAAGAGCAGCGATGCCAGCGATCGAGTTGCTGCAGATCAGCGTGATCTTTCGACCGAGTTTGTTCATTGCCCACCAGGCGACGAAGTTCCCGGGTATCTGTATGGCCCCGGAAACGGTGAAATTCACGAAGATATTGCCACCGACCTGGCCGATGTACTGAGACATCCCGAACAGGCCCATCCCGCAGACGATCCAATTGAAGAAAATCGACAGCGATTTCATCCTCATGTTGGGCGTGCGAAACAAGTCCAAGAACGACGCTTTGTGATCCAAATGTGATCGCTTGGAATTCTGCAAAAAAATCAGAGAGAGAGAGAGAAAGAGACGCGAGAAAGGGATAAATTGTGAAAACTGAAGGATGAAGAAGTACTCTTTACTTGATGCAAACAGTGTTGCCTGACCATCTCCGGGATATCTTTGTTTTTGATTTGGTTGATGTTGGCGCCCTTCTGCAGGATCTTGCACGCCGCTCGTTGCTTCCCAAAGGCGAGCAACCACCTAGGAGATTCAGGTACGATCCACCAATAACTCAGAAGAATGACAGAGGGCAGCGTGATGGCAATTTGAAGGTGCCGCCAGTGACGGAATAGAAATGCAAGCCCAGCCAGTGACATGTGGCCCAAGCTAAATGGTATTTGATAGAGCACCGTGATGGCCGCACGCCACTGTGTTCCAACAATCTCCATACCTGTCGACAATTTCTTATTATGAGTGTTTCTGATCACCTTGCTTAATCCTACAATTAGATGAATATCTAAATTACAATGAAGAATTCAATCGACTTATATATAACATTGTTATATATATTTATTAACATATTATTACACATACTTGTTAACATATATACATATATTTATCAACAACTTATTATCTTGCTTAATCTTTGATGAATCGTTCTAAATATTTAAATTACAATGAAGAATTTAATCAACTTATATATAAGTTATATATTATATATATATATATATATTTCTATGTATATTAATGTATTGTATATACAACATATATATACATACATATTTATTAACAATTTATTATCTTGCTTATCTTAGATGAATATTTCTAAATATTTAAATTAGAAAGAATGAAGAATTTAATCAACTTATATATAAGTATATGTAATTCAATAAACTAATCAATTTATATATAAGTATATATACCTTTTATGTATATTAATGTATTGTATGCACAACATATATAAATTTATCAACAATTTATTACCTTGCTTTGATGAATCTTTCTAAATATTTAAATTACAATGAAGAATTTAATCAACTTACATACAAGTATATATTACGTATACTTTTTATATATATTTATCAACATTTTCTTATTGTCATTATGAAAGTTGTTTGATTATAGTCTTGCTTAATTTTAGCTGAATCTTTCTAAATATCTAGATTACAATGAAAAGTTTAAAATCAACTTATAAATATATATTATATACTTTTATACTACGTCATATATATGTTATACATTTTCTGATATATTAGCATGAAATTATTACTTACAAATGACATAACTGGTAACCATCGTACCACCTGTGGCTAAGGCGCTAAGGAATTTCATCAACAACAGTGCCGGAAACCATGGCACGACAGCGCATCCGATACCAGAGGCTAGCTGAAGAATTACCGATACCATCAGCGGCATCTTTCTACCGTACCTGGCGTACAAGTTTATAGATTAATGAACTTCAAGTTCGAGACGACGTGCACAATTATGGAATGATGAAAGTTTACTTGATGAGAAAAGTATCGGTATTGGTCTGTACCTATCTGCTAGATTGCCAAATATAATATTGCCCAAAAGCACGCCGAACATCAAAATAGACTGCTGGATATTGGCGTAATGCGTTCGGCTGCATACTAAGTTCCACTGAAATAACGTAATCATAAGGGAATGTCCTTAGTTTAGTGGAATTTCTACGAACGCGCGGACATACAAATAGAAAAGAAAAAAAACAATAATAATGGAAGTCGCTGTCGTGACTGTAAGAACTATGTACATACATGACTATATATATCGTATCGGAAAATCATGATGAAAAATATCATTCTAATTCTTTCTCCATGCAATTGCGTCTCTACCAGACGTTTTAGTGTATTAAATACAAACGAATCATTTTTTTTAAAAAAAAAAAAAAAAAAGGAATTAATTTTCTTCTTCTACAACTACTTCTAAGAGAATAAAATTCCTTTGCTCTTTCTTTGTTTACGTATCCAACTATTTATATACCGTAACGTGTATGCGTTACGTTAAATATAATATCGTAGAATCGTGGCATACCGAACAACGCTAAGCTACATCACTATTTTAAAAGCATACCAACCGTGCCTTTCTCCACTTACCCGAACACGAATCGAACCTCGTCAATCACATACGCATTTATATAAATCGTTTCTTTCGTTCTTATCTCGTTCGACTCATTGTCTGTCCATCCTACGGTCCCGTCTTTAACCACTCTCCAAATTCGAGAGACGTGAAACGTCGCAACGTTTATTCAAGCAAGAAGCTTTATTTAAGCAAGAACGAATCGTTAAAAAACAATCTATCTAACTCCGCCGCTTTGTAACTTTAAGGGGAACGA